AAAAAAAAAAAAAAAAAAGAAAGGTGAGGTTGTTTAGGATAGTGTGTGGGTGAGATGGGGAAGACAAGACCAAAAGCTGATGGTGCTGTGGGGACCAGCAATGGTTATAGGGAAACTAAAGGCTGAAGAGCCAGTGATGAGATACCAGAATGATGACAGAGAGACATAAAGCCAGGCCAGGGAGCAGGCTGGGGGCATCCCCGGGAGAAAAGGCAGGGTGCCAGGGCAGGAAAAACACACAGCAGCACCCACCTTGTTGAGAGCCATCTGATAGATATCTTCGGGGGCATGGCCCTTCTCCCTGGGGCGCAGGGCATAGCCCAACTTCTCAGGCATCTTCTCTACCACATAATTCCGCAGTTTCACCTGGTTCACTTCCATCCAAGTGTTCTCATCATATTGGACGAACTTTGTCAGGTTGAGTCCCAGGCTCTTGCAGAGCTTGTGAAGGATCCTGAAGAGGGAGAGATTAGGTGATGGTAGGTGGAGGTGGGAGTGGCCTCACCCCTAGTGGGGCTTGGAGGAGGGGACAGGCATGAGGCAAAGGGTACAGCTGGATCAATGCCAGAGGATGGGAATAAAATGGGGATGTTGAAAGGGAAGTACCAGGATTAGGACTGTGTTGGGGCAGGAGTTGGCTTTTCTTGTGGACGAAGTGGGGCCTCAGAGTAGATTTGGGACTGGGCATAGTTTGGGTTAGACAGAAGTTTGGAGTGGGGAGGGGCCTGAGGCCGAGGAGGTATAGCTGGAGGTTTAGAGGGTATGGCTTTGGGCCAGGGCAGGCCTGAGCATTATAGGAGGGACAGTGGTGGGGCGGGAGCCAGGAGACCACAAGTTGGGATTAGGTGACAAGTGGAGTTGGGGAGTCTAGGTTTTAGGATCAGAGTTGAAGTTGGTGCTGACACTGGAATGGGGACTGAGCTGGAGTTCTGGTTGAGAGCACAGAGATGGGCTGGCAGGTGTGGGTCAGGCCTTACCTGTGGGAGCTGGGCATGCGCATGGCTCCCAGCTCCCCAGTCCAGCCAGTCTTCTGGTTCCGGTAGGTGAAGATGCGACCCCCAACCCTGTTGTCTGCCTCCAGGATGGTGACCTGAGGGAAGTGAGTGGGGGCCTTTTAGCTCCTCAACTGACCATCTTCCATCCCTCTGCCTTCTTCCCTCCCCACAAAGATCCCTTTCTTTGTGTGTATATGGGGGGAAGTGCCATAGTGAGTGGTTCTAGGCTGCAGCAGGAAGGCCACCAGTTAAGATTGCAGAGGGACTTCCCAGTTCAAGAAGTGTGGAGATTTTCTGTATGCATAGAGTCCCCTGGGTTGGCCCTTTCTCATTCTTGGATTTCAGTGGGAGGGATAGTGGTTGGACTTCAGGGGGCACTTCCTCTTGGTGGGATTTCCAACTCCACTAGCACACACCCCCACCTTAGGTTGGAGGTTCTTTCAAGTGGGACTCCCCTCCAACATGAGGAAGAGGAGGGCAGGGAAGTCTAGGGCCTCTCAGTACAGATACATGACTGCAGAGGATTTGGGCCTCACTCCCAGACCACTAGGGAAGAATAGCTCTCCCCTCCCACAACCCTCACCCCCTCCAGAGGACTCCAAGCCAGGAGCAAGAAGGACAAGAGGTAAACTGCAAGCAGCACTTCTTACCTTGTGTCCGGCATCACTGAGCACCTTGGCGGCCACCAGCCCAGCCAGGCCAGCACCAACCACAATCACCCTTTGGGGCTTCAGAGTCCGATTGAGGCCCAAAGTCACCACCTTGAGCAGCTGATCATAGTCAGGATCATGCATGCATTTCTCGAAGGGGTCCTGGATGGGGTCAGCCTTCCAGTCCAGGGAGGCCGTCAGGCTGAGGAGGACGGGGATGAGGACGAGGAGGCGCAGGGCTGGGGAGGACAGGGTAGGTAGGTGGTGGGGTTGGGGAAGAGAGAGGTTCTGTCCCACTTGTCCCAGAGCCCCCTCCCCTGCTTACTCACCCAGTGGGGTCATGTCTCTCAGTGGGAGATGGGGTCTGGGGTGAAGGAGAAGTGAGAGCCACTGTGATGAGACCTGTGTCCCCCCAGCCTGACTCTGTCTCCCCTATAACCCATGGCCTGCCTCAGCCCTGCCCCATAACCATCTTCTTTTCTGGATGCCAGTGCCCCCCAAGTTGTTTCCTTCAGAGCCCCCTGGACCATCCTCACCTCCCTCCTTGCCTGCCTCTGCCCTCATCTCCACCTCTGCCTGATAGCCATGTCTTCCCTGCTCTCTCTGTTCAGCTTGCTTACTCTGTCTTTGTCTCTCCTCTTTCCTCTCACCTCTTTCTGACTGCCTCTTTCCCCTCTCCCCCATTTCTCAGTCCTCTTTCTGCCAGTCCCATCTCTGTCCCTGGCCCCCAGCTCCTGCTGGTTCGACTCTTTACCTCCAGCTCTGGGACAGCAGCACAGCCCGGTGCTTTCCTCTCCTCTGCCCTCTGCAGGCACTGCAGCCCCTTCTCTCCTCTTAAACCAGCAGAGCACCACCCACCCCTCCCTTGGGGAATCAGCAGGGAAATGAAACTGCTATCTGGGAGTTGCAAAGTCAGATGCTCAGAGTCTAGTTGAGGCAGGTGGGGGGAAGGGGGGGAGGAGAGGGGCGGTGGCCAGTGGGAGAAATGGATTTGGGAGGAAGTAAATCAGTCCATTTCTTCCTCTTGCCCCAAATAGTTCTGGGGCAGTTTAGAGGCCAGAAATAAATACTCAGGTAACCTTGCTGACAGCAGGGACTGCCCTGTCAGCCTGCCCTTGCCCTGGTCCCCAATCACCAGGTCCTTATTTCTACCCATTCTGTGCCCTCTGCCTCCTTGATTTTTAGGACAGGAGGACAGAGGGTCTCACCAGGCTGTGGGGCTGCAGGCCCCTGGGCCGGGCTTCTTCTCTCCTGAGTCCTACTCTATCAGGTGTCATCATGCCTTCATGGCTCCACTTTGACCTTAGCCTCCCCTTCTTGAAGTAGGGGTGGCAGCAGGACTTGCAGGCAGCAGCATAGTGGTCAGGGGGTAGGCCCTGTGCCAGCCCACTTGGAGCCTGAGCCTGGTGCCTGGGGACCAGACTCTGTGCCAGCCCACCTGGAGCCTGAGCCTGGTGCCTGAGGACCAGACTCTGTGCCCGCTGGGGACTTTGGGTAAGGGCATCCCCTCTCTGTGGCTCCTGTCTGCAGCTATGAAATGGGCCATCACAATGTTTTAGGGTTGAGTAAGGGAATCCAGGGAAGTCCTGCAAACAAGCACCTAAGTTAGTACTAGATCTTGCTCCTTTGGAGGTACCAGCTGTGGTGGCTGGGGATGGGGGCTAGAGTGGCCACCTGGCAGTGGGAGCACCCAGGCCATGCCCTTGCCCTTCCTTCCCACCCCTGCCTTGAGGACTACTCTGGCACTCAGCTTGGGGCAGGGTGTGGGTGGCACCCTGCAGCAGGAGGGGTGGGGAAGCAATGGTGGGGACTTTTCTTGGGGGCAAGGGAGTGGGAATGAGAGGGTTGGTGAGGAAAAAGGCCAGAGGGAGGCAGTTTCTCTGTAGCAAAGGTGTTGGGGACATTACCAAGAAAGAGCAAGATGGGAAACATTGACAATGAATCAAAGAGGGATGAGGTTTGATGGAGGGAGGGATTGGAAGTGTGTATGAGTCAGAAAGCATATGATGTTGTAGGGTGGGGGTGGAAGCAGTGGCCAAAAGGAAATAAAATCGGACAACTGGACAGAGCCTATAAAGCTGCCTGCTGAAAGAGCTCAAGTCAGCAAAAATGGTAATGAGAAGCCTGCACTGTGGCTTACGCCTGTAATCTTAGCACTCTGGGAGGCTGAGGCTGGTGGATTGCCTGAGTTCAGGAGTTCAAGACCAGCTCTGAGCAAGAGCAAGTTTTCTACTAAAAAAAAATTAGTCAGGCATTGTGGCAGGTGCCTGTAGTTCCAGCTACTTGGAAGGCTAAGGCAAGAGGATCACTTGAGCCTAAGAGTTTGAAGTTGCTTTGAGCTATGATGCTACAGCACTCTACCTAGGGCAACAGAGTGAGTCTGTCCCCTCCCCCAAAAAATAGTAATGAGAAGACTCAGAAGTCACCCTGTGCTCAGGGCTTTGTGCTCATTGTGACCCTCACAGTGCCTACACTTGACAGATAAGGAAACTGAGGCTCAGAGGTGGTGAATGTTGGGCAGAGGAGGACTACAGGCACAGAGACAGAAAAGGACTTTCCCAAGGTCTTGGAGATCAGGTCTCCTCACAGACCAGGCGTGTGTTATTCAGTCACATGTAGTGCATGAATGCCACATCATGAACTCAGTGGTCTGTGCTGTACAGATGGACTTCTCATCTAATCCCAGGTTCCCAGAGAGGAGGAACCTGAACCAGAGAGGGAAGGCACTTTTTCTGGGTCCCAGAGCAGGGAATGGTAGTGCTGCAGGTTCCTTACCAGGTTGGGCATACCCCAAGGCCCCCAGCCCCTGCCCAGAAGAGCCTGGATGCTATAGCCTCATGGCAGTGTTCCACATAAGTGCCACAGAAACTGCCATGAAGTGAACAGCACAGAGCCAAAAGGCTCCCAGGGCATGCCTGGGCAGACTGTAGGCCACCAGAGTGAATGGGTGAGGCTCTGCTGGGGTCCCTCAGCCGACCCCTTTGTCTTTCCTATACAGGGTTGCTGTCCAAGCTCTCTGGATCTGGGCACACGCGCACCTCACTTTATGCTCTAAGAAAGAGATGCAGTGCTAGCCTCTCCTGGAGGGACCAGTGAGGGTAGGAGCAGGAGAGAAATAGCACTGCTAGGGCACCCTGCTGAGAGGCAGCACCACCGAGAAGCCTAGATGGGGGGGGGGGGGGTAGCACCACCTGAGGGCAAGGCTCCCTTTGGAGCAGGGGCTAATCATGGCCTTACTATTGATGAAATGATGGGTGGTTACTGTTTAGTGGTATTTAATTTTATGTGCCACTGTTTGCCTTCATTTACTCCAAGAACAGCTCTGGCAAGGTGAGTTTAGCTGTCCCCTTTTAAGATGGAGAAAACTGAGGCCCAGATAAGTCACCAGTGTGGAAGGGGCTGAGTCTCCCTTTGATGGTAGGCAGCCTGGCTTCTTGGGCATTCCTGACCACATTGCTGTCAGGAACAAGCTTAGACTTGTGGATTAGGCATGGTGTTAAGGCAGGACCTCTCTACCTCAACACTGTTGACATATGGGACCAGGTTGTTGCTGTGCCTTGTGGGATGGTTAGCAGTACCCCTGGCTTCTACCCAGCAGATGCCAGGAGCACTCTCCCCCCGCAATGCAGGAGTAACAGCCAAAGATGTCTCCAGATATTACCAAATGTTCCCAGGGGGAAGGGAGGCAAAATAGTCTGCTGAGAAGTAACAGATGACAGTCAGTAGATGTTGGATACAACTCCAAAAGGTGGCCAGTGGGGTCCAGGATGGAGACCTGGGTACAATTAGTGGGAGAAGTGCTGGAAGGCCATGTGACAGAGTATCCTACAGAGGATATTTTGGAGTCAGATTATGAATAATTGGGAGATTGCTTTTTCCATTGAGTTTTTTTGTGTGTGTTTCACGTTGTCTTCATTCACCATGTATTACTTTTGTAATTAGAGAAAAAAATTCCAATTACTGTTTATTTGAAAAAATACATTAGACAGGGCCAGGTGCCTAAAGTGAAGAACAGAAATAGAGATTGGGCCAGGTCAAGACTGACGTTACTCTTCACTGATAGAAATAATGGGCTTTCCAGATCATTCCTGATACTTAAGAGGTTGGCATTTGGGTTAAACCCAGAGGTAGGGATTAGGGTGGAATGAGCCAGAAAAAACAACAGTTTGGATCAGGTTTTGGGTAGGAGACAATGCAAGATGGATGCTCCGTGGGCCAGAGCTGGGGTAGGGGCTGGATGGGAGGAAGCAGGGAGAGAAGGGACAAATCATGTCTCTGTTTTGGGATATCCTGGTTTTATGATGGAATTTCTAGAACACAATGTTAATCCTTCCAGGTAAAAATGGTTTTTAGGGGGAAAAACCTACCCTACTTGATTTGCTTATAGAACTGCAGTGACAGTTCTTTTTTTTTTTTTGAGACAGAGCCTCAAGCTGTCCCCCTGGGTAGAGTGCTGTGGCATCACAGCTCACAGCAACCTCCAACTCCTGGGCTCAAGCAAAGTCTCCTGCCTCCACCTCCCAAGTAGCTGGGACCATAGGCGCCCGCCACAATGCCTGGCTATTTTTTTTTGGTTGCAGCCATCATTGTTGTTTGGCGGGCCTGGGCTGGATTCAAACCTGCCACCTTAGGTGTATGTGGCTGGTGCCTTAGCCACTTAAGCCACAGGCGCTGAGCCTGCAGTGACAGTTCTAATGCAGTTTTGGTCATATCTGCACAGCAGTCAGAGATCTGACCCCAACCCCACTGGGGGCCTCAAGGCCCATAAGGGCAGGTATTACTGATAGCAGCCACAGATATGCTAGGGGTGGGCCATTGCATTATACAAATACAGACATGCATATATGTATATGTATCTCTGTGTATATCTGTCCAAAGACCCAGAGTGTTCAGTATTAAAACTTTTACCAAGTCTCAGAAGACAACAGGGACTACCTAGGGAATGGCCAGGGACCCAGATAGAAGTTGGGAGTTAGGGCCAGGATGGGGCGAGTGCACAGAGAGCAAGGATGGACTTACCTGAGCCCCTCTGATCTCAGGCCTGACCCCCAGATAGGGACCCCCTTCCCCAGAGCCCTCCTGCCCCTCCTTCCCCAGTTTTCCGAATACCTCTGGCCCTGGAAAGGGGGCACTCACTGCATGGCTGGCTCTGGGGGGCTCTCTCAGCACCCATGGCCTTTCTGGTTAGCCTGGGACAGAAGTCATCATTGGGTGTGCAGAGCCGAAGTAAATGATCGTGGCTTTGTCCTGATGCCCTTGTTAGACCAGAGGTGCCAGGGTCCTGCTGTGGGGTCAGAGCAATTGAAAAGAAGGCCCTCTCTCCCTTCTCAAGTGTTTTGGGTATTTTTGAGAGTGTCTCATTTTGTCACCCTCTGTAGGGTGCTGTTGCATGATAGTTCACAGCAACCTCAAACTCTTGGGTTCAAGTGGCTCTCTTGTCTCAGCTTCCCACGTAGCTGGGACTAAAGGCACCTGTCACAGCACTCGACTATTTTTTGAGATGGGGTCTTGCTCTTGTTCAGGCCGGTCTCGAACCTATGAGCTCAGGCAATCCACCCGCCTTGGCCTCCCAGAGTGCTGGGATTACAGGCCTTGAGCCACTGTGCCTGGCCCTTCTCAAGTGTTTTATTTTGGAAACTTTCCTACAAGTATAAAAGTAGAGCTGGCTCGGCGCCTATGGCTCAACTGGCTAAGGCACCAGCCATGTACACCTAAGGTGGCGGATTCAAATCCAGTCTGGACCTGCCAAACAACAATGACGGCTGCAACCAAAAAAAACAGCTGGGCGTTGTGGCGGGCGCCTGTAGTCCCAGCTACTTGGGAGGTGGAGGCAGGAGAATCGCTTGAGCCCAGGAGTTGGAGGTTGCTGTGAG